ACAGCCCCTCTTCAAACCCCCCATCTCTTCTTCTCCAGGTAAACCTGCCCAGGTGAGTAGGGCAGCTGAGGACCAGGGCTCTTGCAAGTCTCTCACCCCAGAAGTCAACGCGGAAATGTTTTTGGACATTGTGCCGCAGTCCTTCTTCCTATCCAGGTGACAGCGGGAGAAGCGGAGTGGCACATGGGACATATGGTGCACGTGAGAGCACTTTAAAGTACCCCGAACGGCGTCCAAAGGCTCGCCGCACATACACGCGCGGCTTCTGCGCTTTGGACGTTGCGACTGCCGAATAAGTTGCCAGCAAAGAAGATGGGCCGGCCCTCCATCCATCCATCCATCCACACAGGTTGCCCACCGTTTGCATTTATTGTTGGGTTTGTGGAAAGGGAGCATGACTCAGTCACGGTCTGAGAGCTGGACTATGACTCTGGGGGTCAGGGTTCGATTCCCCGCTCGGCCGTGGAAACCTACCTTGGGTGGGTCAGTCACACACTTTCGGCCGCAGAAAACCGGATGATAGCTTCGCCTTAGAGTTGCCGTTAAGTCAGAAATGACTTGAAAACACACAACAACAACAACAACAAAAACAACAAAGTAAAGCTTAACATAACTTTACTTTGATTGGGATGCTTTGATTGGGAGTTCCTGCATGGCAGAATGGGGTTGGACTGGATGGCCCTTGGGGTCTCTTCCAACTCTAGGAGTCTAGGATTCTATGATTCTATAACGCTGCTGGGGGGTATCTAAGCTACGTTGATGAAGGACCTCAGTCATTATGTCCAGTCCACTATAACTTCTATTGATGTATCCTAGAATCGCATTGGCTTTATTAGCTGCAGCATCACATTGCTGCCTCAGGGTCCACTAAGACTCCTAGATACTTTTTGCATGTACTGCTGTGCCGGCACAGAAAATCCCGTGAATAAAAAGCGGGGCGATTTCGCCACTTTATTCATGGGATTATTGCGCGATAATGGCGACGTCGCTTGAAAATCATCCCATTATTGGGTGGCATTGATCGGAGCATAGCATTATTATCCCGTCTCTTTTGCCGTGTGATGAAGTCCATAGACATAATGAATGAAAATGCATCTTACAAACACTTATCTGGGAGCAAGTCCCATTGAACTCAATGGGGTTTAATTCCGATATAATTTATAAAACGTTATCAATTATAAATAAATTTGGGAAATATGCAGGAATTAAAATCAATAAAACGAAATCTGCCATTCTGGCCTTCAATATGACTAAACAAGAACTATGTAAATGTTTTACAAGCCACTACAAAAATTCCAATCCAGAAAAAATGTTAAATATTTAGGGATTCATTTTTATTAATAAAAATGGAGAACCTTTTGATAATAATTATAGAATGATGTGGCGAGAGATTAAAAAGGACCTTGAAACCAAATTTATCATTAATGGGAAGGATGGCCTCAGTAAAGATGAACATATTGCCAAAAATGATGTCCTGATTTCCAAATTTCCCAATGATATCAAATGGGAAATCGTTGGATCAATGGGGGGAAAAAAGACGTAATGAAATTTTTTGGGAAGGGAAAAGGCCCAGAATAAAAAGGAAAAAATTAACGGTTGGACAACGAATTTGGAGGCCAGGGTTGGAATCTCCGTTTAGCCATGAAAACACACCATGTGACCTTGGGCAAGTCACACTTTCTCAGCTTCAGAGGAAGACCATGGCAAACCCCTTAAGAGGAAATCTTGCCAAAACCCTATAAGAGATTTGCCTTAGGGTCGCCTTAAATTGGAAATGATTTGCAGGCAGCCTATGATCATTTATATATATATATATATATATATATATATATATATATATATATATATATTGAGTACTAACTCTCTTGTTTTAATTCTGTTGTAAGCAATCTTGGGTTCCAAAATGTAAAATATATGTTAATATTGTATATTTTAGGATAATAACAGATAAATTGTTCTCCTGCCAGCCAGCCAGCTTTGACGGCCCTAGGAATAAAAACTTCTCATTCAGTGGCAAAAAGGGTTTTGGGTTTAAAGGAATGTTTTTGTTGGATTAACTGATTAGTGGTTTAACTGGTTTAATGCCTTTTAACTTTTTTTTTATCCCATTAAGCCACTTTGGGGCCCTTACTGGGAGAAAAGCAGGATAGACTACAAATAATAAATAATAAGGTGTATTGTTTATTTGTTTGTTTGTTTGTTTCCAGGATTTATATCCTGCCTTTCTCCCACGGCGGGATTCAAGGCGGGTTACAATAGATTAAATAATAATATGTTGTATTTAATAATAATTTAATATATTGTATATACCGGTACCCAAATAGTCTTGTGGTCTCCTCTTTCTGCAACGAAAAGGATATCAATATCATAAAATCGTATTAACATCTTAAGGTTCTGGGTGTAATTGTATATGCACCAATAGAGTGGCACTATGACTTCCCTCATTCTAGACACTATACTTCTATTGATGCAGCCTAGAATCGCATTGGCCTTTTTAGCTGCTGCATCACACCGTTGGCTCAGGTTCACCTTGTGGTCCACCAGGACTCCTAGACCCCTTCCTTTTCTCCTGGAAACGTGACCTAGTGTTCCTGCAAGGTCATCCATGCTATCTCCAAATATGATATATGAAATGATGAGGATCCCAAAATGCAGGTGAGGTATGATGGGGGTGCTAACAATTACCCTGAAGGGTCAAAAAACGTCCCACTGAGTCTCTTCTCAACTATAGGGTTTTCACAGGCAAGGAATGCCCAGAGGTGGTTTTACCAGTTCCTTCCTCTGAAATATATCCTACATCACTAAGTATTTGTTGGTGGCCTCCCATCCAAGTACCATCCAGGGATAGCCCTGCTTAGCTTCCATTATCAGACGGGATCCACTGACTTTAGGGTATTTAGGGCTGGCTTAAATAGGGTTTTCACAGGCAAGAATGCCCAGAGGTGGTTTTGCCAGTTTCTTCCTCTGAAATATATCCTACAACACCACTATTTGTTGGCGGTCTCCCATCCAAGTACTATCCAGGGCTGACCCTGCTTAGCTTCCAAGATCAGACAGTATTTGTTACCTTTGAATTTAAGTCTCATCTATCATTTGCTTTCCCTCTCATTCATCTTTCAACTTTTATCTCTCCTTTCTCTTCCTTTTTTCTCCAGTTCTGCCTTTCTTTTTGCTTGCTCACTTATTCCTTCCTTCCTTCCTTTTTGCTTGCTCACTTATTCCTTCCTTCTTTCCTTCCTTCCTTCCTTCCTTCCTTCCTTCCTTCC